CAACAAACGCTCTCGAACAGTCCTCTCTGCAACCGTGCCTTCATTCCAGGCTTCATTGATTCTACGAGCAGATGCAGAAGCATTCGGTTTCGAGCTCAACTTGCACTCAATGTGGCAGGGGCAATCTTTTTTGCTAGTTGTGTAAGTTCCCCCTTTTGGAGTAAATACGCAAGTCTGTAACATCATACATGTACAGAGATTGCTCCGCGCTTCCGGACTACATCAAAAACAAGCGGCAAAAAATCAATAAAGCATGAGCCTGCAGAAAAAAAAACGGACGAGATAATTATTGCTCAATCAGTTTTGACCGCTCAGTTTATGGAAGAACTCGCCTGAACTGGACCAGAATTTGACTGCGCACCTTGCAGGGTCTGAGGCGCCCGTGCCGCCTCACCACAACCTCTCAAATTATAAATAGATGCGGAACACTTTTAACTTGTAAAGTAAAATAGTAGAAGGTTGTGCAGCACTTCCTTCAGGAGTTGCTACTGTTTCTGCCCGCGTCACGTGATAGGCCCAACAGTGTCCCTGCAATGACCTCACTGCACACAGGCGACTACAGTGTAGTGGTGCCTTTAAAACCTAATCACTTACTCGCCGATAGCGACATAATGTGATAGTAGGCCTGCGCTCAGTGCAACATCATTTACCGCCTATTGATTGATTTCTTGCGTTGTACCTGAAATTTATGACATTGTTTTTTTCTTAATGTTTAGGATTTGATGAAGGACCTCTAAATGGCTTTGTTTCCGTCTCCATTATTCGATGCTATCTTTCTTTTCACGCATTTCGAACAAGCGAATCGAGGACTCGTCTTTCATCAAAAAAATCTCATTGTACACTAAACGCTTACCGCTATAACATAATAACCTAACCGACCAGGGGTGGGAAAAATTGGGCAACTTATGGCTTCAGCAACTCTGAGAAGCTCCTTTTTTTTCTGAACCTACAGATTTTATGGAGCATCCTTTCGTCTCTACCGTCATTTACGTCGTTATCCCATTACCACACACAAGAATTCCTCCAATTTTCCTTCCTCGAGCTCTCCCCAGAAAAAAAAAAAATGCTTTCCTGCTCCATTTGTCAGAGAAGTGCCGGGTTGTGGCAGTTCAATATACTCTTACAACTCGCTATTTCTCGTTGTGAAGTTTCTTAAATCTTTGCTCAAAGCACCAGAAGTTCTGTGCTTTCCAAGCTTACAGAATTATTCGTTGCCGCAATCCTTTCTGGACAAGCCGTCGAATTTCTCTTTTCTCCCTTATGCGCCTCGTCCGTCTTCCACCTCCATTTAGCCTTCTTGTCGAGTATGTGCGAAATAATACCTGAGTCACACTCAAGCAAGGTTTCAGAAAGGAACGAATTTAGGCACGCGGTGTGGACCGAGCAATGGCGAGAGCGAAAGATGGATTCGACTAAGGGCGAATAGCGCGATTACCTAGTAGGCCGGGTTAATGGATTTGTGCGCTCCGCGTTACCGCACTCTATCGCTTGCAGTCTAGCACATCACTGACGTACCTAGTAGATTCTTATCACACTACAGCAACGAATAAATACCACAACAAGCCAAATAATCCCTGCTTCTTGCTAACGCAGATTCTCGCTCGTCCCGCCTCGTCATCCGTAAATTTCTCAACCTTACCTAGCGAGCACACAGACCAACCGCTAACTGATTCATTATTGTAGAGGGAGGAATGCCTGACTGGTCCGATCTAAGAGTCATTCCCCCCTACAGTGCGTTAGGTCAGAAGGGCGCTATCAGCTCTTTCCGCTTGCTTCAGCGAATGGCATGTGCACCAATGGTTCAGGCTCAGGGTTGAGCGGGATGGAAGAAAGAATCTTTGTCAAAAAGAATTTTTAGGAGAATCTCGCTTCTTTTACTTATGCAATTCCCAAAATTCATGCGAGTAGGTGAGATACAATAGAAATTCAAGAGTTCTGCCAGTACTGACAAAGTGCTCTCTAAGACAACTTGCCAAGATGTTTATTGCTCGATGTGACTCGTCACATCTTGGATGGAACAATTTGGAACTTGTTCCTAGATTTGGAAGACTAACCAGGAAAGGTCATTAGGCCAACCCGGCCAAATGAAATGAGGTGCACATTTCTGTACGCAGCATGAGACGCTGAACTCAAATCTGCTTTCACTATCTGCTGAACTCTTCTCTGAAAGGAGTTACGGAGGGTTTTTGTTGCCGCCCTTGATTTTCAGTGTTTTACCTGCAATCACATGTTAGCCGCACTATAAAAGTATCGAAAGGAGAACCGAGGCACTGGTGATGTGAGCCTAGGTAGCGCAGTTGGTAGCGGTCGTGTTTCTCACGGAGGGGGTCGGGGGTTCGGTCCCTTACGGGGTTTGTTGTTTTGCTTTTTTCCAACATGGCTGAAAAGCCTTTTTGAATCTGTTATTTTACCAATGGTCGCCCGACGCTACATCTACGAAGAGTTTGCAAGCTGACCCTCTTAAACTTAAGCACTACTTGTCTGTGAATCAAACTACCCCTACAGCGAGTTTTTCGCCAAATCTGAGGCGACGAAATAATTGAGAAAAAGCGGGGCAGTGATGGGATTACCACTCCTCAAACTCCACTTTTTTGGGTTGACCAATCATGGACGACGGGGGAAAGGGGAGAGAAGGTGTTGTATTAGGAAATAATGGTTTGTAGATCTTTGGATGATGCAGACGGGCAAGCCAGACACAATTTTCGTCTATTATGAAAAGTTTTTAAAAAATTTATTCTACCCAAGTGCCAGCCTTTTGTAATGGATTGGTGGATCGGTGAGTAAGTGACTGCCCAAATTTTCGAGGTTAGGTCAAAATTTCAGAATTCGCTAGAAGTTTCGCTCAAAGGGAGAGTCTGACTCCCTGATTACGAATATCATACTTGTTCGAAGCAAAAATGCCTGGCGCCTGCGCTACAAGCGCCCAAAGTGGTGAGGAGCGGTGCCGCCCAAGTTCATTATTAATTGCCCTCAAATTCTTTTTACTGTTAACTATACGCAAGCATATCGGACTAGCAATGTTAGGAGTCTTCCTAGCTATCTTACTGCAAACGGCAAGAGAACAAACTCGCCAGGGAGTTGATCCCCTGACCTCTTTTTCGTGAGCGTCGACCACAGCCCCTGCGCTTTTCTGCTTCATAATTCCTTTCAGAGAAGAGTTCAGCAGATAAGGACAACACGTGATAAGGACCGGACATATATTTGAGCTCAGCGTCCCAAGGCGCGTATACATATACAGGGGGGGGGCCAAAAAAAAAAGACATTTTGCCTCCACTTCCAGATGGATTTAAGCACATTTTACTCAACTCAGACCGAACGGTTCCAACTTATTATTAAAGAGTGCATTCCATTCTATAAGAAAATCTTCATAGTGGCCACGTACGTGGACGGCATCAGAAGAATTAGCCCTGGAAACATGGTGCAATGGGGTCTTCGAAGGATCGTGTACCATAACGACCCTTACTGGAAAGCTAGTTCCGAGGGGATTTGCACAGTGGTAGCTAATGCCTCTAGAAAACTATCCAACATTAAATCGATTCACGAAATTGCGTAAGAGCTTCAGGCTGAAGCTCTTACGGTAGACCTCCTTGAGCCTGACGACGGTGACAGATGACGTCATATTCTGAAGACGGTGAGGGCAGTGAAGGAGAGCCTGCGTACACTAATAGAGGAACACTTAGGGAATACTCTGCTGAGGAACTCCCGTCAACGACAGCAATCTCTGCGAAGAAAAAAGAGCCGAAGTCCGACATAGGCAAAATGTCTTTTTTTTTGCCCCCCCCCTGTACAGCCATTTCAAATGGCCCGGTTCACTCAAATGACCTTTACTGGTTAGCAAGGCTACCACGAACACCGTCCATTTTTACTTTCGGTCTCATCTTCTGAGGGTGTTGTTCATGTAGGCGTTTTTGGTCGTCAGGTTACCTCGGTCTCACCTCGTAAAGGTGTGGGCCTCAGGCTCATGTGACAGCTTCATTTTCTTGCGAACTAGTAAAGTAGGTGCCACATCGGCGCCGCTGGAAATCTCAGCTAACCCGAATCGATCTTGGAACGGGATCCTACAGAGTGATCATCACATAATGACTAACTTAGGAGGGGTTTGTATGAAGGCGAAGAAGTCATGGATTTTGCCAGGCTCAGCTGCGCATCGTGGTATCCCGGCAGGCCCTGCTGATGTCGTTCGCCATTGAAGTACCCCAGTCTAGAAGGTAGAATCAAGGTAGAGGGTGTCAGTTGGTCGCTGGGGGCACAAAAAGATCATGAGAAAGATGCGGACAGAACCCGAGAATGGGAACCCTTTTCTTTGCCCTTACCGGATTTCCACACCCGATGCGACCGCTATCGTCCTGCCCTTGATGCTAACGCTTCCTCTGCTAAACGCTAGAGACTTTTCGCCGAGTGGTTAGCGAGTTGGTGGGCGGACGGCTCAATAGTGCTTGGGAAGCCATGCTAGATCACAGGGGACAAATCTATCGCTTGCGTGTCAGTACGCGCCTTAAGGAGTGGCCTGCTTTTAAATTCTTTCTTCTACATGGAATCCTCCTTAAGGAGATTCGAGTACGAAGTTATTACGTGAACGTTTGCATTGTGCCATTAAATTTCCATGTGGGAACAATCCGCTGATCTTCAGTGATGTGTATAATTAGTTCATTGTTACAAGTGGAAAAAGAAAATGACTTATTCGATATTACCTTATTACACCTTGCAGACGATTGCTCTGTATTTTTTATTGTGCACTTCACTTTTATTCCTCGATTTTTCGGCCACTTCTTTTACATTTTTTATTCAAAGCAGTTCATATCAAGACATTTGATAGCTTGGCTTAAGTTGCTCGTCACATGTACCTTTGAAGAATTGGTCGTTTTTTTTTGATACACAAGCTCTTTTTTTCCTGATATGGCACATCATGCAGATGCCACTGAAACAGACTTCTGTCTCCGTGATGCGATCACGAAGATTGCTTTGCGAGCGATCGAACAGCCACTTTCGACACTGACGAAATGGCTGCAATCATTTGGGGAAACAGAGAGGTTCCTTGTTTCTAAAATATAAAATTAACATGTTTTTAAAACAATTTCCTTGCGCTCGTGAAATCCTACGTAATTCGGAGTCGCTCAATTATTTTGGTGGTGGTTCGCATACCGGTGGATCAATGTCCTTTGTGTTTCTTGACTATCTGGAGCATCACTAGTGTTCGTTGAACACTAATTGTTTCGATGGTTCAAAGGCAGCGATTACGATAAAGAGGGAGCACATCGGGAAGCATATGCACCACACGAATCAGTTACTTGGCTGCCAGGGAAGCGAGGTGTAGCGCTTTCACGACGAAAGGTTCGCTGGTTGCTGAGCAGGACTTCGAAAGCACTCCGCCCAAAAGCGATCCGCCCACTAGTTTAGTTGGTGATTTGGACGAGCTGCGTTGCCAGCAGCGGCACAACTGGCAACAACTCGATTGGGAGCGTGGTTTAGCAATGAAAGCACAAACCCGCATATCGCAGCTGAACTCGTTCATACGTCCGCTCTGAGCTGTTGCCTGTTCATGAGTGAAAAGCAACGGCCAAAAAGGGGTCCCGTTTTGCGTTTTCTTGACGGATTTCTCCGCTTTTTTCGCCAGCGTACCATTGAGCACCACCACGTCTCCTCTGAACCCTTCTCGAACTATCGTAATCGCTGCCTTTAACTCACCAACCGGTTCAAGAGGGGACTGGTGGAAAAAAAAACTAAGTGTCAGGCGATTGATCTCCTTCAAATGACCGCAAAATTGACCGGTCATGATTTTGTAGTTTTGCATTTATATTCGTAAATGACAGCTAGTGTTCACTAGATGAAAGTCGTCATCTTTTATTAAGGTAAAATCGCAAGAAACATGCAATCATACAGTTAAATCTGACTTTTTAGATTGCGCCATGCACTTGAATCCCATTCATAATCTTATTTTCCACTTTTGTAAATGTTGCTGGACATACGGTATGTATTTTAAAGGTTGTGAGCCGACGTCGTCAAATCACCAAAAGAGTGGCTGAACATCCAGAGCTGCAGGATCCATATAGCCAGGCGTTTATGACGCGTACAGAGCACATGGATCATGCAGCTAGAAAGGTGATTCCATTGATTAGCACATTTTTGAAACACTTTAACAATCATTGGCTTATAAACTTCTTTATTCATCAAGAGAACGAGCTCCACATAGCTATTCACTGAACTTTTAGGCCACAAACATGCTCAAAGATTTGGACGCTCTCGATGTGAATCCAGTGAATATGAACGAGATGTACCATTTAACGAAGTTTGTGATGTTGACTAATTTATTCTGAAAGCTTAATACCAATCAATGCTAATCCACTGGTGGCGAGTAGAAGAGGAAAAGGCTTACGGCGTTGATCGACCTTTTTCGAGATGCGCCATGCATTCCTCTTCTCTTCAGAACCGTAGTGGCATTTGGGTGTATAACCTATACAATGACTTGTCATGGCAACCGATGTACATAAAAGCAATGTAGTTACCCTCCCCGACGAATCTGGCATCAACTGACTGACCCTTAAAATTTGAAGGATTAGTTAGACAGGCTCTGAACCCATTTGATCCTAGATATATGGTTGAATGAGCCGCCACTTGCTACCACACGCCTTACGTACGCCTTCCAATGTACATCGTAAGTATCTTGTAGGAGCGTTTACAATTTCTAATGCGGAAATGGGACGTAAAGACTCAATCGAGATTTTAATTCGAATTACGTGTCACCTGATACGATATTCAGATGCAAGGACGCAACTTTTCCATCGGGTCGACATGAAACTCAGATGAGAGCAGTAGTTCCTCAAGGCTGCGTTTTTCAGTGCTGGAAATGACTGTGACATTCTCTCAGACTGGAAAGAATGGGAAGGAATTGCATCGAAGCTTTTGTACAAAGGCATTACGACTGTTCGATGCTGAACCACCTTTCATTCCTTTTACCAATTCCTTTTATGAGCCAACTTTTAATTTTTTCTTACTATTGATTTTTGACCCTATCACAAGATAAGGGGGCACTGTGATGGAAATGCACTTGGAACAGCTCGGAACTTCTTGTTAGAAACGGGTCCATTCCTTTGGCAGAGGAGAGACCCCGAGGAGAGTGTGCGATTTTCATTTTCTCGATTTCGTGCCCTGCTCAGGCTCGGTCCTAATATGCTGCCGTATCACGCCAACAGCTCCTCCCCACTGATGAGGACCGTGTCAGCAACACGAACAAAAAAGAAACAAACAGAAAAAGTTTACTGGCTGGTTGCAGCAACATTTTTTTAGAGTTTATGTTTGCACATGAGGATTTTTACTATTTTTCAAACGGCGTAACATTTTAGTGAAGTCATCGGTATATCCGGTTATCCACTGGCTCTTCATGGTATCATGTTCATTCCCACACTTCAAGCTCAATGCGCCGACGATCAGATGCATTGGCTGGAGAAAGCTATGACGAAGCAGATCATCGGCACCTATGCACAAACCGAACTAGGGCATGGTATGTAATACAAGAGTTCAAATCACTGACACGAAAACAGCCGGTTCGAAATGAGAACCTGTAAGCAGGGTAACCGTTCACAGGGGATTTGGGGTTGAGAAAGGGTAGCTGTGTTCGTGAAAAGTGCGAATAGGGGTCCGCTTTTGTTTGCGGGGTTTCTAAGGATTTATTGATTTTGGTGAAAATATCACGAATGCGAAATA